CCTTTTAATGTAACCCAGGAATTCAGAACCGAAGTCACTTAAACTGAAATCGCCGAAATTTGAACCGGATAAAATGACTAAAGCCATTTTTAAACAGATATTGGAGGACTGTATGATGGGGATAGGGGAAATTCCTTCCTAGAAATGTGCTTATGGAACCATCAGAGAAAGCATGTATCTTTGTTTGTAGCTATTAAAAAGTATAAACCTTAACTGCTGAGATGAAAATTTAGCAAAAATCATGAAACATGATCCTGATACTAACTTGCTTCCTGTTAAAGCCAAATCAGCCAAAGAACCACCGGGAAGAAGACTGCCATCTGATTAACATCAGATTTATTTGTAAATCAGGAGTAAGGGCACTCCAGAGGAAGCGTGGAAACCAGGAAATTGGAGGATGAAGTGTCTTTTGTAAGTTTTAGGTTCCCGCCAAAGGGAGTCAGGAGGGTCTGGGGAGAGCGGGAATCAGTTCTGGATTGGACGCTATTTGTGAGGTGGGATTTGGAAAAGTGGGGATTAACCAGGGATTGGATGCTGTCATGAGGAGAGGGCTGTTCACTAATTGGGTGCACCCAGTAATAAATAAAATAAAAATAGCTAATAATAGCTATTAAATAGCTAAGATAGCCTGGGCATCATTGGTAAAAGAGCAGTATGAGAGGTGGACAGAGCATTTTACAGCTGCTGAATGGCTGTGGGAAGAACAAGGTTCTCTGTTAATTTTGCAGCTGGCTTGTCTGCCCTCCAGGCACTGCCTGCTGCTTTTTCTCATTTCAGTCTGAGCTGATTTTTATTCTTTTTGGTCCTAGCCCAAACCAAGATTTTTAGTTTGATCATTTTACCCAGCATGCCTAACTAGACAGAATTAGGGTTCTCCCTTTGGACCTCCAAACTGCTTTTAGATGCATTTTAACATGGACAGAAGTAATTTTCACTTCAGCAATTCAGTTTTCATCTTGCTCCTCCTTTTCCTGGATTTACTGGAAATAGAAGATAGGAGTAAAAAGAAATCGTGAAAAAGTTGGAAGATGGAATAAAGAAGATATTGAATTGGGGAGAGTGACATAGAGACAAGGCATAGATAACAGGAAAGAATGTGTCATCGGTGCCCAGCTATGTGGAATGTTGGGGCATATGAGTTTTTAAAAAAATGAAGATATTTGGCCTTGCTAGTGATCTTAGGCTCACAGAGGTCCTAAATGGAAAGATCAATGGCCAAATTCAGCCAGCAAAAATGTTTCATTTGGCCCACGTGGTAGTTTTCCAAATGTCTTTTAAGTAGATCCCAAAATTCAGTAAAGCAGGAGATTTACTTTAAAATCTAGATTTCAGGGTGCCTGGGTGGTTCAGTTGGTTAAGTGTCCAACTCTGGATTTTGGCACAGGTCATGATCTCATGGTTTGTGAGATCAAGCCCTGCATGGGGCTCCGTGCTGCCAGCGTGGAACCTGCTTGAGATTGTTTCTCTCCTCTCTCTCTGCTTTTTCCCTGCTCGTGCTCTCTCTCTCTCCAAGTAAGTAAATTAAAACTTAAAATAAAATCTAGATTTCTAATTTATCTGGAAAACATGAGAGATCTGGGCCTCTTTGTTTGGTCTCTCCTGGACTAATGGCTCTCCTGCCTCACTCATTTTCATTGCCTGGCTGCTGTAGACACTTTTATTTGTGACTTCTGGGAATTCTACAACTTTTTTTTTTTTAATGTTTTATTTATTTTTGTGAGAGAGAGTGCAAGCAGGGGAGGGGCAGAGAGAGAGTGGGGGACAGAGGATCCAAGGCAGGCTCTGTGCTGACAGCAAACGAGTCAGATGTGGGGCTTAAATTCACAAACGGTGAGATCATGACCTGAGCCAAAGTCGGATGCTCAACCAACTGAGCCACCCAGGTGCCCCACGGGAATTCTACAACTTAAACATAGACAGAATACTAAAAGTGGGTGAAAAGAAGTTGAAACTACACAACCGGACTCCATGTTTGCCTTGCTCATTGCTGTATGACTGAGAACAATAGTTACTGAAGTAAAAAAGAAATCAGGATTAAGAGCAGCCATTCTTAGGAAAATATATTGAATATGCTTGGGTGAGGTTCAATATGGACCAAAATGAACCCTATAGATAAAATCAGAGTCCATCGTCGTAATTGCAGAGTTCTTATCTACATGCAGTTTTGAGACAATATATTCAGGGTGCTATTAAGGACAGCCAAGAAATTGCAGAGTTCTTATCTACATGCAGTTTTGAGACAATATATTCAGGGTGCTATTAAGGACAGCCAAGAAAGTAGACATGTCAATGGATAAATTGGCAAAGGATAGCGTAGGATTATGGAGGAATGCAGAATAATTGCTGGAAGAATAAAATACAAAGAGAAAATGGACCTTGTTAGAGAAGAACTGTGAAATGGATTTAGAAGCAGAGAAGAATAGGGAATAATTACATAGATGTGGCTTCATAGGTAATTTCAGAGACTACTGGAGCTAAAGTCGTAATTAGAGATCATCCAATTCTAGTCTAACTCCAGAATTTCACAAATAGGAAAATTTAAGAAATCTGCTTAAAGTAACAAAACTAGGGAGTAGCAGAACTACATCTAAAAAACCTCCTGACTCTTCCCCATCTACTGTTCTTGGTTCTACCCCACATTTTTTCTGTTGTAATTATCCTCAGTGAATTATTATTTGTTCCATTTAATACTGTATTAAACATTTGTTCAGTGAAATGCTATAATTAGTAACCACAACAAAGAGATAACTTAAGATGACCATACAGATTATGTGATTTAGCTAAATGAGGTTCAGTAGTTCTAGTCCTTTGAATTCTAGTGAGATCATTGATTGTCAGATTTTCCTATAAGCCATTTCATAAATTTCTATATCTCACTAGAATTGTGGACTCTAGAACCAAATAAGATACCACCTACTTAAAACTGGGATGGGATGGGGTGCCTGGGTGGCTCAGTGGTTAAGCATCTGACTTCGGCTCAGGTCATGATCTCATGGTTCCTGAGTTTGAGCAGCTGTCAGCACAGAGCCTGCTTTGGATCTTGTGTTCTCCCCCTCCCCGTCCTCCAAAGGAGCACACACCCTCTCACTCTCAAAAATAAATAAAACATTAAAAAAAAAAAAAACAACTAGGATGGGGCGAGATACTGCTTTTTAACACAGAAAAGAAGCACATATAGCAATACTCTATAATCTTATTTTAAACGAAATGAGACTAATATTTTTGCACTCATTCTGTATGAATCATTGATGTAGATAAAATGAAGCTGGGGAATTAAAGGAAATATGTAGAATTTGACATATGCAATAGTCAACTTCTAAGGCAACAATTCTCATCTTCTGGTGTTCACACTTTTGGTTAGTGCCCTCCCACACTAAATAGGGCTGATGTGCATAACCAGTAAGATAGTACAGAAAAACTATGTATGACTTTTGAGGCTGCATCCTGAAAGGCATTGCGGAATCTGCCTTATTCTCTCTTGGATTACCAATTCTGGAGGATCCAGCTGCCGTGTCATGAAGACACTCATGCAGCCCTGTGGAAAGATCCACATGGCAAGGAAGTGAAGCCTCCTGCCAACAGCCAGCATTGACTTGCCAGGCACATGAATAAGCCACCTTAATAGCAGATCTTCAAGCCTTCAGATGATTGCAACTCCAGCTGACATCTTCACTACAAGCTCATGAGAGACCCTGAGCCAGAACCACCCACCTAAACTGCACCTGGACTCCTGAACCACTAAAATTATGTGAAATGTAAGTGTGTATTTTTCTGAGCTAAGTTTGGGGATAATTTATTATACGGCAATAGTTAATACAGTGTGTAAAGCCTGAAACCCCTGAAATCATTTACAAAGCTATATGTTTACAAGAATACAGCAGGATCAAAACATCCAGTTTGATTTCATAGAACAGTTTTTTTTCCGCTAAGTTTTACTCCCTTAAAAGGAATGTGTAACAAACCCCCCAATGTTTGTTATTGGGGGGAAGGAGGGAGGTGTGGTGTGCAAATTCTTCCTTTCCAGGGAATGTTTAAAAACTGAGCTGGTTACATCCCTAAAGAGAAGGGAATCAGTACTAGTCACTTGGGTCGGCCCTCAAGAGCCATCAACGAGAAAGACAATGGAACTTTGTGTTTAAAAATAATGAGGATTTGAAACAACAATGTGTATAATGAAGGGGGGCGGGGGAGAGAAGGAGAAAGGATTGTCCAGGGAGCAAGAGTATAGATTGCTGGATCTGAACTTAGAAAGTGTCCTGCTGCCAGGAAATGGGAGATTGTGGGGAGTGAGTGCACTCGTTGAAGACAAGATTCCCTTGTGAAGGCGCGTTGAGTACCCAGGAGCCTCACAGATCAGAGCCCTTGCAATACCCAGGGTCTCTCATTCAGTACCTGGAAAAAAATTTTTCTTGTTAGGCACCAAGACTCCCATCATTTTACTATTCCTCTGGAAATAACAAGGTATGACCATGCAAGGCAGTGCCACTAAGTTTTACTCTTTGTCTTTTGACCTTCCACCCTCTGCAATGTTCTAGGGCCCCTCTAAGCCCAAAAAGATCCTATAAGCACCTGCAAATGGGGAGATAGGAAGAGTATCTGAGAAAGGCTCAAGTGAACAAACTTGAGACTAAGACAGTGATCAATAAAAGCCTTTTTTATATGCATATGAACTTTTTTTTTCTGGAGAGAGAATCTATAGCTTTCATCAGATTTTCAAATGGGTATATAACCCAAAAAATGTTGCTCAAATCTAGGAACATTTAAAATGTAAAATCTATTTCTTTAGAAGTATTTCTCCCTTTTACATAAATGAAAAGTTATAATGGGGATTTTTACTGTATTATTTACATGATATTAAATTATTTGACTTGTAAATGACAATCTCCATAAGGACAAGAATACCAATCCTATACATAATACTTAGCATATTGCTTTCTCAAGGTAGTTATTCCATAATTATTTGTTAAATGAATAAATAACAAATGAAGATAAGAAAAAAGGAAAGCATATATGAACCTTTATATGAACAAAATTTCACATAATTTATTTCTCATAGTAGGGAAAAGATGCAGTTATACCAACTTGGTTAGGATTCAGATAGTTTGTTTTGGTTTAAAATAGAAAATGAATCAGAGTACATTGGTTAATCTGCATTCCCCCTTCTCCCCATTACCTCACCCCCCAAATCCATTATTTGCTCTTTTCTGCCTTATGCTCTAGCAAACTGATCACCAAGGACTGCATGTCCTACGCTATCTGGCCAAGTTGGCTGCTGTTTAAGTTTGGCTGATGGGAGGCACTGGCACAAGAAATAGGTCAGAGTATTTCTTCCCAATCCCCCTCTGCTTTGACAAAGCATCTCTGTCAGCAGTTTCATCCCTCTTAGATTACAATGCCTACTGGGTGGTCCCTCTTCTACAGTTTCAGCTAACAGCTGGCTCTCTTTCCTGTGTCCCCTCAGCCTGAGGAGTATTGCTTGTCTCCAGGTGCCTACCAGCCCTTGCTTGTTCCCTTCCCCCTACCCTCATGTATGCAGTACTTTCACTAACACTTATTCCTTTGGGTCATACGGAGAGAATGCTACTTCCTGGAAGGGCCCCTGACTTATGATACACATTCTAGGTACCAAGCACTATTCTAAATCCTTCATGCACATGTCCCATTTAATCCTCATATGATGCCTAAGAATTAAGTACTGTAAATATCTCCCTTTTACAGGTAAGTTTACCCTTTACAGTGAGTTAATATGATGGCTACATGGGATTCTCTAGGACATTTACATACTAGGCAGTTTGCAAACAACTAAGGATGCATCAACAGGCCCTGAAATCAAATACGTAGACAAGAGCTAATAAGCCATTAGGTTGATATATGCTAGTTGATTATGTTATCATGACTAGATAGAAAAGTACACTTCTGTTGCCAAAAATTACCTCTTTGATCCAATATCAAATACACTATTAGCTTTTCTATGAGAATTCAACAGTCCCAGACGATTTTTTGTTACTGACTATCTACATAGCACTTACAATTAGTCACAACTTGAAGAGGAGATGAAGTTAATTCTTATTGGAAATACATCTTTTACATTGCTACCGTAAGGCAATGAAAGCAGTTGAGAGAAGCTTTGTGCCACAGCCCTCTGTCTAAATTAGGGGAAATATGGAGAAGTCAATACATGGTTTCAGTAATCTTCCACATCTTTTCTACATCTCTACCTATCCTCTGCTTGCCCCCTGTATGCTGCCATTATGTTCATGTCATTTATGTTTTTCAGAATGACTGCTGGACTACAAGACTAGAGATCAAACCCATGCTAGGAACAGATTGGGTGCTCTTTACACTTTGTCTTAAAAAAAGAATAGGGCTTTTGTTGTTGTGGTGCGTGAAGGAAATGGTCCCAACTATGACATCCACTCTCTTGTCATCCAGATTCTAGGACAGGATTCTCATATTTTAGGCATGTTTAACTTAGTAATGGAAAGGGCAACAGTTTTGCTAATAGTGTCTTGACTCACTATGCTGGACCCCTGCCAAGGTTCCTGTTCAAGAAGATATTAAAAGAAGCAATCTTTTACAGCAGGACTTCATTAGGACAGTATGCATGCATGGTAGCTATTGTAGGACTAGACTGTGACCAGGCCATGTCAATAATGTTCCTCAGCACTGCTATTCCTGACTCTTCCCCAAGCTCTGGTCCATCATTGTAGAAGAGATCCTCATTGATTCATGTCCCCTAAGGTTATGAGATCAGACGTAGGGGCTTTTCTCTCATTGGCTTATTTACACCGAAGAATCAAACAGAGTTGGAAATCTAACTACAGCTGGTTCAATGGCTTTATCTCATTTAGGAAAACGGTTTAGTAAATCAAACATTCTTCTATCCAGATTTTTCCAGGCTAGTCAGACCACCTGGGTTTGAATTCCAATTCTACAATCTTAATTCTGTGACCTGATGAAAATTACATACTATAACATGCTTACATGGTAGCCATGCCATTTCTTTCCATTTTTCTTTTTCTTATCTTGATTAAAAAAAAAACTATTGCTAAAAAATGCTATCATCCGAGCTTTCAAGCAGACATGATCTTTTGTTTTGGTGGAGGGTCTTGCTTTGATTTTGATGGCTGCTGAATGATCTTGGGTGGTGGCTGCTGAAGGCTGGGGTGGCTGTGGCAACTTCTTAAAATAAGACAACAGTGAAGTTTGCTGCATTGACTCTTCATTTCATGAATGATTTCTCTGTCACACACAATGCTGTTTGATACCATTTTACCCACAGTAGAACTCCTTTCCTTCCCCCCATTTTTAATTTTTTTTTTCTTTTCCTAAATGTAATTTATTGTCAAGTTAGCTAACATACAGTGTATACAGTGTGCTCTTGGTTTTGGGAGTAGATTCCCATGATGCATCACTTACATACAACACCCAGTGCTCATCCCAACAAGTGCCCTCCTCAATGCCCATCACCCATTTTCCCCATCAACCCTCAGTCTGTTCTCTACTTAAGAGTCTCTTATGATTTGCATGCCATTTCTTTTCCTCTCGCTCAGGCTTGGATAGCTCTGACAGACCTTCTATTTGCTGTGATACAGTGTGGATGACGTTTTTACTTCCTTTCCTCCATATCTGAATCCAGTTTGGTTTCCAGTCAGTTTCTGTTTGAGAGCAGAGTATTTCATCTTCTGTTCACTTTTCTGTACCTTGAGGAAATGGCAGGAAGGAGAGAGAAGCTCTGGTGAGGAAAGGTAGAACTTGTGTTGCGGGATTTTCTTTTACCTCAATACCCGGGATTCCTTGTCTTGCCACATCAAAGAATGAAGAGGTGGACACAAAATGAGCAGCAAGAAAAAGTTATTAAAGTATAAGGTTAGAAAGGAAGAATAGTATGAAATCTCTCTTTACAGAGAGGTGACATTCATAAGTGAATGCCGGAGGACTATAGGCAAGGGTCCTTGTTTTGTAAGGTTCTGGTCACCCCTCCCCCTCCCCTTCCCTTCCCCTTTGTTCCTTCTCAGGTTCTAACTTTATTTATTGGGTATATAACTCTGGATGCTGAGTTGTCCATTCCTGGTTGGTTCATTTTCATTGTATGAGGGGTGGTCTATGGCCATTAACATTCCTTGTGGGTCATAGGTTTTATGGTCTACTTATTTTTAGTGAGATCTTTTGTCAACATCCTAAGGGAACCTGAGGGGAAGTAGGTGGTGTCTGTTATATTCTTAGGAAATTTTAGGGAGAGAAAGAGAGAATCCCAAGCAGGCTCTGAACTGTCAGCACAGAGCCCGATACAGGGCTTGAACCCACAAAACCATGAGATCATGACCTGAGTTGAAACCAAGAGTTGGACACTTAACCCAGTGGGCCACCCAGGTGCCTCGATAGCTCCCCATTTTACTGAGTAGCCCTGGAGCTCTCTCTTTAGAGTTAGGTCCATAGTTCACTTTCCCCATTTCACCAGCCTTTCTTGCAGCTCTTTCTAGAAATGTACAGTGAGAAAATGAGAAATGTAAGGAGGTGCATTAGGTTTATTTCTATACAAATTTGGGGATATTTGTGTTAATTTCATAATTTGGCATTTGTTTCAGAATTGTTACATTTCTTTGTGTGTCTGCAACTTTTTTATTTTCTTTTTACAACTTTAGGGTATGCCCCTTTCATTTTCTGTTTGCTGAACTGGTAAATTTTCTAGACCTTTTGTCGGGGGGCAGGCATTAAGGAGAAAAAGTCTGTTGTACATTTTTAGTTAGTCACCTGGACTTTCAAAAATTCCCAGCACATGAAAGTTTTTCTCCATAACCCAGTCAGCTTTTGATATGCTAATATAGTCGGATGCTCTTGAGAATATTCCCCCATCACTGAACCTGGAGGGTCCCCTTAACTTCTCCACTTCTTGTTTCTGAGGTTGGATTCAAACTGGTTACCTCATTGATTGCATGATTTTTTCCACTTTCATTCTCGGGAATTAATCCCAAATTCAGCTTTGGGGAAACTTACTATTAGATTAATCCATCATAAAGAGGCAATGGAAACCACAGCTTTCCAAGCATACATAGACATAATTTTGCATAAATATCAAAGGGTTCATGACTCCCCGAGCAAGGACCCAAGGTGGAAAAAAAAATTCCCTGGTTGTGATAAATCATAGCTTTAGTTCTCGAGTAATGTTTTTAAGCTATAAAGGACTTTTAGAAGTCATCCAGTTATTCTACTGCCTTCAGACAAAATAATTCTCAGGAAATGTGGTATAGAAGAGTCTATTTTAAGAAACTAAACACTGGTTCTGGCTTTATAGCTAATTAAGTGTATGATCTTTGTCAGTTTAATTTCTCAGCCTCAGTTTTGTCATCTGTAAAATGAAAGGGCTTGGAATAGGTGATCTCCAAAGTCTCTTTCATCTTTATGGTTCTAATGATAATACCATCCTACACAGCTGATAATTTCCTTTTATACTATCATAGTGAAAAGTCTACAATGTGTGTAACTAACCTCATTCTCTTCTGTTTGCAATAGTTTTTACTATCAGGCATGTCTTCTTGATTGCTATCCTAAATCCCTCATGTTTCTCTTTATTTTATCTTCTTCTCAGTCTTCTTAACATTCTCTTTTGGGGCACCTGGGTGGTTCAGTCGGTTAAGCCTCTGACTTGGGCTCAGGTCATGGTCTCATGGTTCCTGAGTTTGAACCCCTCATCGAGCTCTGTGCTGACAGCTCAGAGCCTGGAACCCGCTTCGAATTCTGTGTCTCCCTCTCTCTCTTCCCCTTCCCCGCTCACACTCTGTTTCTCTCTCTCAAAAATAAATAAACATTTAAAAATTTAAAACAAAACAAAACACATTCTCTTTTATCTCCCTCACCCAAATCATTCCCACACAGTTAAGTCTCACTAATGAAATGTAAGGAAGGACTTCCATTACTAAATGCCCTTTTTCCCACTTCTAAATCATTAACGCACGTGGTAATTGAGACAAGACACAGTCCTAACACCCAAGGGCAATGCATTTGATCTTCTGTCTATCAGAAAGATAAGAAGAGCTAAACAGTTGTAGTTGCAGTATCTGGTATTCTCTGCTCTTCTCTTCTAGATTATACTTTTCTAAACTCCACTCAGAGAGAAGGTGGCATAGATAAAGATACCACATTAAGAGAATAAAATAGAACTGAAATCGTGTATCTGAATCTAGGCTTTACTACATTTTAGGCATTAGCACTGAGTTGCTACATCCCCAGACTCCTGCAGAATCCTATTCACAATACTTGCCTATCTAGGCATTAACAATTTTCTTTTCATTTTTTTAAAACCAGGTTTTTCAATCTTAAAAGTAATAATTGTACATCCTTTATAATTTATAAATAATAAAGTAATAGCTACAATTAGAATTAAGTCTCTTTTCCTCCCCATTCATTCCAATAACACTTCCCAGAGTTAATCATAATTAATCAAAGTCTTCCCCCAATTTTAAGATATATACCTATATATCCTTAAGATTACATTCTAACTGTGAAAACTGTTCCACACCCTGTTGTTGTTTTTTTCCACTCAAGAATTTGTCTTGGATATCCTTCCACTGCAGCATATATAGTTTTAGTTTGTTCTATTTCATGGCTTAAGTAGTATTTTCCTGGGTCCTTGAATATCAAAATATTTTTGGCTTCAAGTAACAGAAAAATTGACTAAAAATGGCTTATATGATAAGGACCTTTATTGTTTCTTACAACAAGGAGTCTAGAGTCAAGTTAAGTCAACACTTTAGTAATTTCATGAAGATTCAAGTATTTTCCAGATTAATTCCACAGCTCATTAATATGATGAAGATTCAATCAGATTCTTTCTACTCTTCCATTTTCAGTAAAAAAGCAAGAAGCCTCTTGGTCACCACATTGTTGTAGCAACTACAGGCATTATTCATCACAGAGCCACATAGCCATATTCATCACATATCCACAGGAAATAAAATGACTGTTCTTTCTCATGAGCCTCTTTTTTAAATCAAGGAAAGCTTACAGAATACCATCCTTCATGTTGCATTGGTCAAGGTTCAACTACCTGTCCACAGTGAATCCAATCTTTGGCAAAGGAAATTAGACCAACCTGATTAGCTTACACAAGGGGTTGGCAAACTATGGCTTATAAGCAAATCTGGCTCGTTGCCTGTTTTTGTATAGTCCATGAACTATGGGTTTTATATTCTTAAATAGTTGCAAAAAATCAAAAGAAATTCATATATTGTGATACAGAAAAATTAGGTGACTTCTGGGGAAGATGGCAGAGTAGGAAGATCCTAGGCTCACATTGTCCTATGGATACAGCTAGATATTATCCACATCAGCATAAATAACCCAGAAAATGACCTGAAGACTAGCAGAACAGACTCTCCACAGCTAAACATAGAGAAGAGGCCACATCAAAGAGGATAGGAAGGGCAGAGACATGATCGGCAGCCAAACAGATTCACAGGACTGCCCACAGGAGCGAGGGATGCTGAAGGCATGGAGAAGGGAGAGGAATGGATCTCACACCAGGCACCCCAGCCATGGGGGACCCACCCTGGGAAGATAAATTGAATTCCCATAATATTTGGCATTGAAAACCAGAGGGTCTAACTTTGCATGTTCTTATAATCAGTGGGGCTTAACACCTGAAACTTTAAAACTCAGCCTTCTCAGCTCAGGGAGAGATGAGAGGGTGGTAGAAAACTGAGTCCCTGCCCTTAAAGGGACAACACAACAATACAACAAACTGCACCATAAAAATAGAGCATAGAAGCAGCAGTTTGAAAAATGCCTGGGGTATATGGGAGGGAGATACATTTACTAATCTCAGAGCATGTGCTGGAGGGGCAGGGATATTTGGGAGACTTCTCCAAGAACAAAAGAGCCAGTAGGTGCCATGCACCTCCTCTACTCCTCAGCCTAGATACACAGATACTTGTGGGAAATAGCACAGCTCAAACACTCTCCACCTAGCTTGCTAACAGTGTGCCTTGCTCCCACACTCTTATCCAGGTCTGCCCCCTCCAGCCTTGGCAGTTTTCCTAGACCATTACAGGTCCCCTCCAGCACTGGACCAGCACACTCCACCCCCGAGTTTTCCTGCAGACCCATCCCCTTCAACACACATGGCAGGTGTCCATCCAAAGCAGCACCCCAAGCATGGCAGTGTGTAAGCAGCCTCAGCAGGGGCCAGCACCACCCCAAAGTGACTCCAGTCCCAGGGAGAGTGGAAATAAAACATACACAGTAGTTCAACTGGGGCCCTAACAGTGGGCAGTGGGCAGTGGGCAGACATCTAGTCTGACTCCAACTCTATCCACCAACAAAAGCTTCTTGGGGACAACATAGGGAAAGCACTCTGCAGATTGATTCTATCATAGCTTTGGCAAATCCCTGATCTGATTCAGCCCAAGGTGGCCCCAGACTGGCTCACTAACACTATAGGGAACAAATCCTGCCCAAGACAGGCAAAAAGAGCCATTGCAGATGACTGAACTAAAGGCAAACGTGGCTCAGCTACAATACAGTGCACACAACACACAGAGGAGACGCTCCTGAAATGCCAAGTTCTGGTGAACAGAGGACATTGCACTGCAAGACACCACAGGACCTCTTCTTCATAAGGCCACTACTTTCAAAATCAGGAGACGTAGCTGATATTCCTAACACATAAAAAACAGACACAGAGAGTTAGACAAAATGAGGACAC